AGTCACAATTTGTTGCACTGCCGTTTGGAAAATACGGCTTCTCTAAGGGCTCAGACCATACTTGAGATTTGTTCTAACACTGCGCTTTCAGGTATTTGAAAATGTCAGTACATCACCATGAGCAATTGAATTGGAACACACTGTGAGTTTCACTTCTTAAGAGTGTAAGAAATAACAATTTTTTTGCATTACTGCTAAATGAAATATGAAAGAAGCCTTGGTTTCAAATATTTTTATTGGAATCCTCCCAAACTGAAATTCTGCTCCATGTACTAATTAAAATAAAATTCGATTAGTCTCTTATTTTAGTTTTGATTCTGATACCAGTTTGGTATAGAGTATATTGAAGATTTCTGAAATACTCGGTTTTGGTTTTGTTTTACTATCAAACTGTGTAAACATGGTAGTGCAAGATCAAGCTGGTGTTTGAGTGAGACTTAAAATTCTGGGGCAAAGAAGCTGTGATTTCAGTGCACGACCCCACTACTTCATGAGTCAGCACTGAACCCTGCACTGGCACGGCGCTAGTCTGCTCGAAGTGTCATCTTCCCCCGACTGTAAACAGGCATCGCTGCAACCTGGCCACCGGCTGAGCATTGTTTATCGCGGGAGAAGGCTTTTCACTTGTGCTGTGCAATTCCAACACGTAACTCCCTTCTGCTTCCGCAAATGTCGAGTCCTGAAACTGCAGTCACGTTGACTGCTGCGTTGCTTCGCTCTGTAGAATGACATTTCTAGTGTCTTCACACAGAAAGACTTTTCCTTTGTTAGCTTGAGACTAGCTTTATAACTGTAAACTAGTAAGGAGACTAGTAGAAACAGAAATCTAGTTAAGTAAGGTAAGATCTAATTAGGTAAAGTGGGTAGTTGAAGTGTTAAGAATATCTGATTTTTTTCAGCAGTGGAGCGTGGGGTGTATCTGACTTTCTAGGTATGGCAGATTAAAATGTCAAAGTGCGAGTTAATAAAAACGTACTTAACCTATAAACTCCGTTGCCCGTTTTATAGAAAAATCTCAAAGCATTTAGCAGATGCTTATATTTTTAAAACGTGCCTGAGGCAAGCGTAGTTACAAATGGTGTTATAATTGGGTGAACTGAAGTAACAGGAAACGTTTGCTGTGCGGGTGAGGCTGGAGCCCAACAGTCACCTTTCCCAGTCCCCGTGTTTACTGCAAGGCATTCCTTCAGGTGACGTTTATCGCTCTTTTCCTGTAAATGATGTTGAGAGACTGCTTATAAAATGTTTGGTGTAATAAATACTGCTCGGTATAGACATGTCAGGTGTTCCAACTGCGGCGTAATTTTTGGCTGTGCGTTTCATGATTTGGTTTTTCTTGTATGCAGAGCTGGGAGGACTTCTGAAGTATGTTCGACCCTTCTTGAACTCCATCAGCAAAGCAAAGGCAGCCCGCTTAGTCCGATCTCTGCTTGATCTGTTCCTTGATATGGAGGCAGCAACAGGACAGGAGGTGAGATTTAAATTTTAGCAATAGTCTGTTCCTCAAAAGCCTGTAACGCCATTATCTGACCTACTTTGCTTCACACTGAAGAATTATTCATGTCAGGAAACGTTCATTTAATGCATTTGGAGATATTAAATTAATAAAACATTAGATAATTTAATTCAGTCATAACCATGTTTTTCTGCAAGCCTCATCCTGCTGCAGGTTAGGAGTAACTCTCACCCTGGGCGTTTTTCTTAGATTTCTGTTGCTGTTAGATGCACAGCATTGGTAGCGTTTTGTAGTGTGATTAGCGTTGGGGATACAAGAGATGCTACAGCTGTTCCAGGGAGCTCGGTCTGGTGGGAAGGTGGGGACAGCGTGTGATGGCACAGAGCTTGAGGTGTGAGTGTTCGGGGTCTGCTCAGGAGTCGTGGGGATTAGAGCGTGAGTATTACTTAGCATCTTTCATCTGGAGACGTGAAGCTGCGTTGCATGAGGACAAAGTGCGGTGAAAGTTACTCCTGAAGTTGGAGTGGAAAAAGTTTTGCGGTTACCAGGTGTAAAGTACTCCCAGTAGATTAACTTCTCCACTAGAAAACCCATTCAGTCTAAGATAGCCCACAGTTAGGATTTACTCCATTCTCATTAGCTCCCTAGAATATGGTTGTTTATCTTTTTTCTTTTGTGTGTGTTCACATGACTTGTTAGTTATTTGGGAATGGGAGAAGGACAGAAGCAACTTGTAAATGATGAGGAGCAACTTGGAAGCGGCGCTGATCTGCAGTAGCGTAGGTTGTACTGACACACCAAAGCAGTTAGATGGAGAGAGGAGGCAGGAAGACTCTGAGGGACAGGTTAAGCGCAAAGCCCGCGTAACGCTGTATGCGCAGCGACTGACAAATTACAGCCTAGAAGAGCTTGGGTCATGTTGAGAGGCAGGTGGCATTCTCATTAGCCAAATAAGCACCGAAGTATCATCCTTTGGTTCAGGCGACCTAGCAAATGTTCTTTGTTTGCTCTTCAGTTCTTGTGGCTTGCGTGCCATGTTACCGTAAGCGGTGCTGGATGGAATCTTTTGCCCCTCTTTAACAGAAGAGATTAAGGGAAGTGGGGTGGGATGTGCCGGTAAGAAGGGAACCCCTAAAGGGGTCAGGAGGAAATGAGTGGCTTCAGACTTTTTCTAAAGGTAACTTGATGTAAATGATGATGTTTGGATGCAGTCCCAAAAGGTGGCATTTGACAGGAGGGGCAGAACTTGGAGTAATAGCAGCGGAAATATGGCCCAGCTAGTCAAAACATTCACTTTCAAGCATATTCAGAAGCCAAACCCAAGACCTTAAGGAATTATGACACCTAAACCTGTGAGGTTCTTGATGCAGTAATCCTGAATACTTTCAGTGCCTCAGAAATGTTCAGAGGGACATTTCCTTCCTCAGTGTAAAATATATTAAGACGACTCCCAGGAGTCCACTAAAGCAATGAAATTAGAGATTTCTCCAGCTCCTAATGCTCCAGCTATCACTGCGCAGTAAATTGCGACTTCATAATGGCTTTTCATAAAATGTCCCCATTTAATAAGCAGTGACGAGGAGCTGACAAGTCCTGCAGTGTGGTACAGCTACAGAGCTGCTCCAGAAAGAGCCGTGATCCAGGGATTTTGGGAAAAGGCATTCCT